CTTCTATCCTTCCCTTCTTCCAATGTCCCCCTCTTATCTCCTGATAAGACATATCGTGTGGAGACACTCTGCACATGTTCAGTGTGGTGTGTATTGCTAGAGAGGTTTTTTTTTTCTTTGGGAGGGTGCATGTGATAGGCACAGGGCCAATCAGCACTGTCCAGAAAGAATTCCGGGGGTCCTGCATGCTCCTGGAGCAGAATACAAACTCCTCCTACAAGCTTTTACATGTACTTGACTGGACACTGATAGAAGTCACAAGACTGCTCTAACTGCTGATGAGAAAATGTATTTAGCAGTTTATATTGACTAAAATAATTGCACTTCCATGTTATGTGTACTGTGGGAGACCAGATATAGTGAAGTCAGGGTCCTGGGTTTAGTAACACATTGACACAAAAAAAAATCACCCGGGCTTGATGGCTTACACCCAAGAGTCCTCAATAAACTTAGCCAGGTTATAGCCAGACTGTTAATCCTAATTTTTATGGATGGTTTACTGACTGGAATGGTACCAGCTGATTGGTGAAAAGCCAACGTGGTACTAATATTTAAAAAAAGGCATAGACATATACCTGGATAAACTACAGGCCAGTTAGACTAACATCGATAGTATGTAAACTATTAAAGGGGATGATAAGGGACTATATCCACGAATTTGCAGTATCATTAGCACTAATCAGCATGGATTTGTGAAAGATCGTTCTTGCCAGACCAATCTGTTACAATTCTAGGAGGAAGTGAGTTGCCATCTAGATAAGGGAAGGCCTGTGGATGTGGTTATCTGGATTTTGCAAAAGCATTCAATGCAGTTCTCCATGAATGATACATTTACAAACTGAGGTCTGTAGGCATGGACCACAGGGTATTACCTGGATAGAAATTGGTTACAGGGGCACATTAAAAGGGGGTGATAAATATTGAGTACTCAGGTTGATCTGGAGTGGTAAAATGGGGTACCCAATGGCTCTGTCTTGGGACCAATTCTGTTTAATTAATTCATAAACAACATATTGGTTGGCATAAAAAGTTCAATCTCAGTGTTTGCTGGCAATACAAAGCTAAGCAGGGCAACAACTTCACAGCAGGATATGGAAAACTTTACAAGAAGACCTCAGTAAAATAAAGGGGTGGGCAACTACATGGCAAATAATGTTTATAGGCTAAAAATATGAACACAAGTTATTTGTTAGGGGAAGAACCCTTGGGGCAATACAGAATGGGAAAAAGATTTTGGGGTCCTGTCACTATATCCCTTGTGAGCTGCTATGTATAGAAAAAATATACAAAAATATAAGTGCCCAATAACGCACCAGATTCAAACAATAAATAATACAAATGTGATTCCAACACTATGGGGTTGATTTACTAAAGACCAATAAGTTGGGGAATAAGGGGAACATGCAAGGAAAAATTTAAAAAAACAGCATTTTTGTCTTGCACATGATTGGATGAAAGAAATTAGTAGAGCTTCACCTTAATTGAGAGCTTCCCTTCAGATCTTAAGCAACTGCACTTGCAGTGCACAGTATATTTATCTTTAGTAAATCAACCCGTCTGTAGTGTTTCTCCACAAAAATACTATGCTATATACTTATAATTTACTATAAATATTAAACAAAACAAAAAAGTGAAAAGATCTACCAGCAGCCAAACACTGTAAATGATTCTCATACTAACCAAAAACAATTGTAAACAATTGAATCAATTCCCGGAAGAGATCACGTGCCCTGTGACAAAACGCTGTTGGGGCAGGGTCTGGATGACTTCCCAACGTTCATACTCAATGCGGCAAGTGTTGGATGCTGATATAGCGTTATTGCACAAGGTTACCGTATCTATTTTAAGGATATATATATATATATATATATATATACCTTTATCATGTGAGCAGCATTTTATCTGTTTGTGGGAGATAATAAAGCTTTTAAGGATAAAGCACTTCAGTATTTTGTTTACATGGTGTGGAAGCGGAGGCAGCAGGAGAAGGAGGGCTCCATCATGAATGTTGTGGCTGATTGTGGAGAGGAGATCATAGTCCATTTAAAAGGGACACAAGCGCTTTGTGAATGAACACTTTGTGTGGGGAGGTCATATTATTAAGGTGCAAGTACACTGGGTGGTGGTAGTTCACAGAGAAGTTTGGTGGAGCACGAAGGTGGAAATAAATGTTTGATACACCAATACATATTGAAAAGCTGATGATGATCTTTGTATTCTGATATAACATGGACACTTCATGCAATATACAGGTGAAACTCAAAAAATTAGAATATCGCGCAAAAGTTCATTTATTTCAGTAATGCAACTTAAAAGATGAAACTAATATATGAAATAGACTCATTACATACAAAGCAAGATAATTCAAGCCGTGATTTGTCATAATTGTGATGATTATGGCTTTACAGCTCATGAAAACCCCAAATCCACAATCTCAGAAAATTAGAATATTACATGCAATCAATAAAAACAAGGATTGTACATAGAACAATATCGGACGCCCTCTGAAAAGTAATAAGCATGCATATGTACTCAGTACTTTGGTTTGGGCCCCTTTTGCAGCAATTACTGCCCCAATGGGCTTGGAATGGAAGCTATCAGCCTGCGGCACTTGCTGAGGTGTTATGGAAGACCAGGATGCTTCAATAGCGGCCTTAAGCTCTTCTGCATTGTTCGGTCTCTTGTCTCTCATCGTTCTCTTGGCAATGCCCCATAGTTTCTCTATGGGGTTCAGGTCAGGCAAGTTTGCTAGCCAATCAAGCACAGTAATTCCACGGTCATTGAACCAGGTTTTGGTGCTTTTCGCAGCGTGGGCAGGTGCTGTCAGGGCTCCCAGGTGTGACCAGAGGTGTGTGACTGACGCAGGGAAATGCAGACTTCAGATATGTGATAAACAATATAATTTATTAACACTAACAATACAAACATTTTAAACGCAGTGCAATACTAAACATAATACAGTGCAAACAAACCAAACCAACCACCCACAGATAACAGTACATACAAGCAAGCGTCGTCAGGCAGGCCGGGGTCGATATCAATTGGGCAGGTAGGTACAGGGGGAGCAAGCGGAGATTGGTCGGGGTCACGGGCCAGGTTCAGCAGGTAGCTAGCAACGTGGTACAGAGGGTCAGGCAGAGGGATGGTCAGGGTCACAAGCCAGGGATCAGAACAGGTAGCAGGCAGCGTAGTACAGAGGGTCAGGCAGAGGGGATGGTCAGACAAGCCAGGGATCAGAACAGGTAGCAGAGAATCAGACAGGAACAGAGAGCAGGGAACAGGATACAGGGCCAAGAGAAACACAACACCAAGGCAGAGTCTGCAAGTCTGGCCATCCCTTAAATACCCCAGCATAATCAGTTCCAGGTGTTAGCTGGCTGCAAAAGTTGGGTCTCTGATTGCTGGGAGCACCCGCTGGCCAGCCCTGGTACTGCAGATCAAAAGGCAGGTGAGTCCCACCATTGCTGGCTAGTCCATTCCTGACAGTACCCCCCCCTCAAGGAGCGGCCTCAGGACGCTCCAAACAGTCCTAGCTGGGCAAAATGTTCCACCGCCCGGGTCTGGTAACTGGCGGGATATCAAAGACTGGCACACCGGGCAGGACTCCGGGCAGCGGCACTCCGGGCAGCGGCACACCGGGCAGGGGCACACCGGGCAGGGGCACATTGGGCAAAGGGCACCCGGGCAGAGGCACATCGGGCAGGACTCCGGGCAGAGGCACATCGGGCTAGGACTCCGGGCAGAGGCACATCGGGCTCGACTCCGGGCAGAGGCACATCGGGCTCGACTCCGGGCAGAGGCACATCGGGCTCGACTCCGGGCAGAGGCACATCGGGCTCGACTCCGGGCAGAGGCACATCGGGCTCGACTCCGGGCAGAGGCACATCGGGCTCGACTCCGGGCAGAGGCACATCGGATTACTAGGCGAAGCAGCAGGCAGCGGGCCCCGGACGGGGCGGCAGGCGTCGGGCCCCCGGGCGGGGCGACAGGCGTCGGGCCGGGCCCCGGGCGGGGGCGACAGGCGTCGGGCCCCAGGCGGGGCGACAGGCGTCGGGCCCCCAGGCGGGGCGGGCGACAGGGCGTCGGGCCCCCAGGCGGGGCGACAGGTCTCGGGCCCTCAGGCGGAGCGGCGGGCATCGCCGGACCCCCAGATGGAGTGACAGGTCTCGGGCCCCCAGGCGGAGCGACAGGTCTCGGGCCCTCAGGCGGAGCGGCGGGCGCCGGACCCCCAGATGGAGCGACAGGTCTCGGGCCCCCAGGCGGAAGCGGCGGGCGCCGGACCCCCAAGTGGAGCGACAGGTCTTGGGCCCTCAGGCGGAGGAGCGGCGGGCGCCGGACCCCCAGGTGGAGCGACAGGTCTCGGGCTCCCAGACGAAGCGGCGGGCACCGAGTCACCAGGCACGACAGTGGGCACCGAGTCGTCTGGCAAGACTGCGGGCACCGAGTCGTCTGGCAAGACTGCGGGCACCGAGTCAACTGGCGGAACAGCGGGCATCGAGTCAACTGGCGGAACAGCGGGCATCGAGTCAACTGGCGGAACAGCGGGCATCGAGTCAAACTGGCGGAACAGCGGGCATCGAGTCAACTGGGCGGAAAACAACTGAGCACTGGACTGCGGGCACCGAGTCGTCTGGCAAGACTGCGGGCACCGAGTCGTCTGGCAAGTCTGGTCATGGACTGCGGTCACAGACTCCGTATCGAGTCGTCTGGCAAGACTGCGGGCACCGAGTCGTCTGGCAAGACTGCGGGCGAGTCAGCAACAGGGTCTGGCAAGACTGCGGCATCGGATCGAGTCAACTGGCGGAACAGCGGGCATCGAGTCAAACTGGCAAGACTGCGGGCACTGAGTCGTCTGGCAAGACTGCGGGCACCGAGTCGTCTGGCAAGACTGCGGGCACCGAGTCAACTGGCGGAAACAGCGGGCATCGAGTCAACTGGCGGGAACAGCGGGCATCGAGTCAACTGGCGGGAATGCGGGCAACGAGTCGTCTGGCAAGACTGCGGGCACCGAGTCGTCTGGCAAGAACTGCGGGCACCGAGTCGTCTGGCAAGACTCAGGGGCACCGAGTCAACTGGCGGAACAGGGGGAGTCGTCAGGGGAATCGAGTCAACTGGCTGGCGGAACAGCGGGCATCGAGTCAACTGGCGGAACAGCGGGCATCGAGTCAACTGGCAAGACTGCGGGCACCGAGTCGTCTGGCAAGACAGTGGGCTCCGAGTCAACAGGCACGACAGTGGGCACCGGGTCATCAGGTATCGGATTGTCTGGCTCGACAGCGGGCATCGGGTCACCAGGTATTGACAGCGGGCACTGGGTCACCAGGCATCAGGTCATTTGGCTTGCCAGCGGGCACCGCGTCATCTGGCAAGGCAGTGGGCACCGGGTCACCAGGTATGACAGCGGGCTCTGAGTCAATTGGCACGACAGCGGGCACTGGATCAGGTACCGGATCATCTGGGATCAACAGCGGGCATCGAGTCAACTGGCCTAATAGGATCGTCGGGCTGGATCAGTTCATCATGCTGAGTAGCGGCATCAGGCTGAATGCAGGCATCAGGCCGAGTAGAGGCTTCAGGCTGAGTAGAGGCTTCAGGCTGAGTAGAGGCTTCAGGCTGAGTAGAGGCTTCAGGCTGAGTAGAGGCTTCAGGCTGAAAGAGAGGCTTCAGGCTGAGTAGAGGCATCAGGCTGAGTTAGAGGCATCAGGCTGAAGAGAGGCATCAGCTGAAGAGAGGCATCAGGCTGAAGAGAGGCATCAGGCTGAAGAGAGGCTTCAGGCCGAGTAGAGGCTTCAGGCCGAGTAGAGGCTTCAGGCCGAGTAGAGGCTTCAGGGCTGAGTCACGGAAGGCAGGTTCACCGGTTTGGATACTGGCAGGATGGTATTGGTTGGAAAGAATTTTCGCTTTTTTTCTGGTTTTAACTACTGGAGCAACTGCAAGTAAACGCAGGTCTGCAAACGAATGGAGCAGCTGGAGACAGAGAAAAACTGGAGGGATGGAACAGAGGGAGAGGGTAAAGCAGTTGCTACAGAGGGCTTTTTTACAGGGTTAAAGGCAGGATAGGTTGCAGCGAGTGGGAACAGGGTACTGACATGCGGTAGATAGCCAAGTATACTGGGCTGTAACTGGAGGAGCTGGTGGGAATACAGGAGTAGAGTTAGAAGCAGGACTGGGTTTTTGTAAGCTGACTGAGGCTGGGTGCAAACAAGTCTGTCCATGTCTGCAGTATGGGTTGAACAAAGCTGAGCTTACACAAAGCCTGTCTGGTCAATGACTGCACTGCGTTTATACAATCTCTTAGTGTCTGTGGTGAACATGTGGAATAACGCTCCAGAAAGTAACCCACATCATCCTCTAATAACCACACCAGGGACTTCTACCTGGTCTGCACTAAATGGTGGCAAAAATTCATCCCTGCATTTTCGGGGGGAACCAGATGAAACCAACTCAGCACAAACCTCAATCAAAGGCTGCACCTCAAAGAACTCTGTGCCCTGATCTACTAGAACATGAGCAAGCCCGTATACATTCTAGTAGTTGATCCCTGGGATACTCCTTCAGAGTTTGATAAGCATACTCCCTGTCATCAAACACTAGCAGATTATAAATACACAAACCTCATCAAGATCCATCCTTCCCAGCAACAAGCATACAAGCCAAGATGGCTTCCTGTGCAGCCACTTCTGGTCAGGATTGGCCTTGGTGTAATGTCAGGGCTCCCAGGTGTGACCAGAGGTGTGTGACTGACGCATGGGAAAAGCAGACTTCAGATATGTGATAAACAATATAATTTATTAACACTAACAATACAAACATAAAACGCAGTGCAATACTAAACATAATACAGTGCAAACAAACCAAACCAACCACCCACAGATAACAGTACATACAAGCAAGCGTCGTCAGGCAGGCGGGTCGATATCAATTGGGCAGGTAGGTACAGGGGGAGCAAGCGGGTGATTGGTCGGGGGTCACAGGCCAGGTTCAGCAGGTAGCTAGCAGCGTGGTACAGAGGGTCAGGCAGAGGGGATGGTCAGGGTCACAAGCCAGGGATCAGAAACAGGTAGCAGAGGAATCAGACAGGAACAGAGCAGCAGGAACAGGATACAGGGCCCAAGAGAAACACAACACCAAGGCAGAGTCTGCAAGTCTGGCCATCCCTTAAATACCCCAGCATAATCAGTTCCAGGTGTTAGCTGGCTGCAAAGTTGGGTCTCTGATTGCTGGGAGCACCCGCTGGCCAGCCCTGGTACTGCAGATCAAAAGGCAGGTGAGTCCCACCATTGCTGGCTAGTCCATTCCTGACAGGTGCCAAGTCCTGCTGGAAAATGAAGTCAGCATCCCCATAAAGCTCATCTGCGGAAGGAAGCATGAAGTGCTCCAAAATCTCCTAGTAGACGGCTGCGTTTGACCTGGACTAAATGAAGCACAGTGGACCAACACCAGCAGATGAACATGGCTCCCCAAATCAACACAGACTGTGGAAACTTCACACTGGACTTCAAGAATCTTGCAGTGTGTGCTTCTCCATTCTTCCTCCATATTCTGGGTCCTTTGTTTCCAAATGAGAAGCAAAAGTTGCTTTGATCAGAAAAGAGGACTTTTGACCACTGAGCAACAGACCAGGTCTGTTTTTCTTTAATGTAACACACCTGCTCCCCATTCACACCTGAGACCTTGAAACACTAACAAGTCACATGACACCAGGGAGGGGAAAATGGACTAATTGGGCCCAATTTGGACATTTTCACTTAGGGGTGTACCAACTTTTTTTGCCAGCGTTTTAGACATTAATGGCTGTGTGTTGAGTTATTTTGAGGAGACAGCAAATTTACACTGTTATACAAGCTGTACACTCACTACGTCACATTGTAGCAAAGTGTCATTTCTTTAGTGTTGTCACATGAAAAGATACAAAAAAATATTTACAAAAATGTGAGAGGGGGGTACTCACTTCTGGGAGATACTGTGTATATATGTGTGTGTGTATACAGTCAGGTCCATAAATATTGGGACATCGACACAATTCTAACATTTTTGGCTCTATACACCACCACAATGGATTTGAAATGAAACAAACAAGATGTGCTTTAACTGCAGACTGTCATCTTTAATATGAGGGTATTTACATCCAAATCAGGTGAACGGTGTAGGAATTACAACAGTTTGCATATGTGCCTCCCACTTGTTAAGGGACCAAAAGTAATGGGACAATTGGCTTCTAAGCTGTTCCATGGCCAGGTGTGTGTTATTCGCTCATTATCCCAATTACAATGAGCAGATAAAAGGTCCAGAGTTCATTTCAAGTGTTCTATTTGCATTTGGAATCTGTTGCTGTCAACTCTCAAGATGAGATCCAAAGAGCTGTCACTATCAGTGAAGCAAGCCATCATTAGGCTGAAAAAAACAAAAACAAACCCATCAGAGAGATAGCAAAAACATTAGGTGTGGCCAAAAAACAACTGTTTGGAACATTCTTAAAAAGAAGGAACGCACCGTTGAGCTCAGCAACACCAAAAGACCCAGAAGACCACGGAAAACAACTGTGGTGGATGACCGAAGAATTCTTTCCCTGGTGAAGAAAACACCCTTCACAACATTTGGCCAGATCAAGAACACTCTCCAGGAGGGTAGGTGTATGTGTGTCAAAGTCAACAATCAAGAGAAGACTTCACCAGAGTGAATACAGAGGGTTCACCACAAGATGGAAACCATTGGTGAGCCTCAAAAACAGGAAGGCCAGATTAGAGTTTGCCAAAAACGACATCTAAAAAAGCCTTCACAGTTCTGGAACAACATCCTATGGACAGATGAGACCAAGATCAACTTGTACCAGAGTGATGGGAGAAGAGAAGAGTATGGAGAAGGAAAAGGAACTGCTCATGATCCTAAGCATACCACCTCATCAGTGAAGCATGGTGGTGGTAGTGTCATGGCGTGGGCATGTATGGCTGCCAATGGAAACTGGTTCCTCTTGTATTTATTGATGATGTGACTGCTGACAAAAGCAGCAGGATGAATTCTGAAGTGTTTCGGGGCAATATTATCTGCTCATATTCAGCCAAATGCTTCAGAACTCATTGGACGCCACTTCACAGTGCAGATGGACAATGACCCAAAGCATACTGCAAAAGCAACCAAAGAGTTTTTTAAGGGAAAGAAGTGGAATGTTATGCAATGGCCAAGTCAATCACCTGACCTGAATCCGATTGAGCATGCATTTCACTTGCTGAAGACAAAACTGAAGGGGGAAAATGCCCCAAGAACAAGCAGGAACTGAAGACAGTTGCAGTAGAGGCCTGGCAGAGCATCACCAGGGATGAAACCCAGCGTCTGGTGATGTCTATGCATTCCAGACTTCAGGCTGTAATTGACTGCAAAGGATTTGCAACCAAGTATTAAAGAGTGAAAGTTTGATTTATGATTATTATTCTGTCCCATTACTTTTGGTCCCTTAACAAGTGGGAGGCACATATGCAAACTGTTGTAATTCCTACACCGTTCACCTGATTTGGATGTAAATACCCTCAAATTAAAGCTGACAGTCTGCAGTTAAAGCACATCTTGTTTGTTTCATTTTCAAATCCATTGTGGTGGTGTATAGAGCACAAAAATGTTAGAATTGTGTCGATTGTCCCAATATTTATGGACCTGACTGTATATATATATATATATATATATTTATATATATATATATATATATACAGGGTGAAAATTAGAATATCATGCAAAAGTTCATTTATTTCAGTAATGCAACTTTAAAGGTGAAACTAATATATGAGATAGACTCATTACATGCAAAGCAAGATAGTTCAAGCCGGTGATTTGTCATTATTGTGATGATTATGGCTTTACAGCTCATGAAAACCCAAATCCACAATCTCAGTAAAAGAAAATTAGAATATTGTGAAAAGGTGCAATATCTCTCTGCTCAAAGTGCGTCCCACTCTATCAGCTAATTAAGCCATAACACCTGCAAAGGGTTCCTGAGTCTTTAATGGTCTCTCAGTCTGGTTCAGTAGGAATCACAATCATGGGAAAGACTGCTGACCTGACAGTTGTGCAGGAGGAAAACCATCATTGACCACCCTCCATAAGGAGGGGGAAAGCCAAGATGGACCAATATAACTATGTAAAAAATTACATACCTGAAATTCAGCTTTTATACATGCTTGGGAAAAACATAGACCTATTTTCGGATCAAAAGTTGCAAAAGCGAATGACTCAATTGGACCACTTTTGCTGTTAAAGTATATCAGAACCCTCACCTTGTTAAAACAACCCATTCAGTTTAAAATGGAATTGAAAGGCAAATAATTTTGTGTATAGATAAGAAAAAACATTAGAGTTTTTTGCTCTTTTCCCTCTGCATAAGAGCTGGGGGGAGGAGAAACATTAAGTACACTGCACTCCCAGAGGGACTGGCAGGACACACAGGGATTTTCAAAGGAAGCAATTACAAAAAGAGAACAAGATACTTTTTCATACAA